TCCCCAAAACGCCTCGTTGGAGATTTCTCATTTTCCAATGTTTTCTTCCTGGGTATCGCTACGTAGGGATACCCAGTAGCCACGCCCAGAGCTTCCCAAACCTTTCAGCGATTCATGCCGGATATGTACAGCGTAGGGCACTGAAGAACGATGCTGTTCCTACTTTGTTTGGACCAGCGGGAGATTCGGGTACACAACCTGTAAGTATTCATTGTTGTTTGTGTATTTATGATGTTTAAAACAAACAAGGTATCTACCACGACTGTTTAAATGGGTAAACGTTTTTCGGGCTACTACGTTGGGATTGCGGAGAAATGCTCTCCGCAGACCCATGCTCACAGCGTTATAAACCTTTTTCTTACTCAATATCAAGCCACACTTATTGTTTTTACTTCGACTGTGAGTGTTTGTGTGTGCTCAGGATGAGTTTAGCTTGTTCTCCTGTATCGCCGAGACGCCGGCACGGAAGCCTGTCTGCTCCTGCAGCAGCTCACACAGCTGCGAGGAGCTGCGAGCAGCAACGAGCCTCTCAGCTTTGCGACCAATCAGAGCACACTGGGCTCACAGGGAGGGGGGGCAGGAGCTCCAACAAGCCGTTTAGGACAGAGAGTGAATACCGGTGAATACACATACTTTACAGAGATGCTGTATGAGAAACCAATATGAGTTTGGAAAATTGCACAGTATACATCTATTTTAGTATACCTCAACAATGGAATTATGATCAGTAGAAATGGCCATGACATGGGATCTTTAAGATGGTGCAGACTTTGAACAAGACAGCTACCCAGGAATTTGCTGCACAGAAGAAACATGACATTGTGGTGACAATCAAATTACATTGTTTTGTTATTGTGTTTTTCAGATAAATTAAGAATTTCATCGGATCACCAGCAAAGACCTCCTGGGGACGTTCGGTGCAGCCTTTGACAAACATGTGCCTTGCCTGCTGAAACTACCGGGCTAGGAAGGGAGCTTTAGGACAGAAGATGGAAGACCTCTTGGAAAAACTTGATGAACAAGTGAGTGAAGTGCCTCAATCTAAGAGCATGCAAAAGTTGAGGGGAAAATGGCCTGTCACTTGCTACCTTCAGCAGCCTAAGGAGACGGGTCCACCAAAGCCCTTTTCCCCCATTTGAAAATATGAAATGCTCCTTCGCCTAACATTTGTAGGAGCAAAAACGCTTTGATGGAAAGGCTTCAGTAAAAATGGATGTTACAAATCATTGCTTGGTGTTCTTAGTTGGTGGAATTTGAGAACTATAACGGTATTTTTTGTTTTCTTTTGCCAGTCTTTTACTGAAGCATGCTACTGGGATCTGACCTGTTCTTTATCCTCCTCATTACTATACAGAACGTCGGATTTTGTATAAATTCACAACGGCACTAAACTAATTGATATGTTTGTGTGTTTCCACTGGGTACTCCTTAGACATCCGACATTGTGTCTCACCGAAAGACAGCAGCACTGAGAGGCCTGCCCATTTTTATCCGAGAGGACACAACCAAGTTTCTTCTGGAGTGTTTGGTAAGTAATACTAACTGTAGGAAATAAACTTACACAATACAAGTAATATTGCTTAATGTAGCTTAAACATTTTATGATCTCATAGCTTATGCTAATCATTTTATGCATAATACACTTTGTGTAAGATTTAATTTTGAGCCCAGAGATGTTTTCATCTCATGAACCCGAGCGCGATGAGTTCACCCAAAATTAAAAATAAATATGAGCACTGTTTGAGCAACAGCCAACCCGATACAGCTGGCCATTGTTGTCTGGTGTTCTTTGTCAGAAAATACTTCTTTATAGAACCCGGCACAACAAGGTTGGTGGGTGATAGCAGCCGTTCTGTTGAGTTGCAATTATAACTTCCACAAGCTGAATGGCAAGACTCAGTAGCTTGGTACTAAAGCTAAAGTTAGAATCAGTGGATATGTATTTTGTCGTTTAGTTTTCCATAGCACAGATTCATGCATATTTTACTTTTCCTCAGGACAATGACCATGAAGAACGATTGCTCAGAGGTGTGACTGTGGCCATCCTCACCGTCATTGAAGATGAAGATGCCGCCATATCACCAAATGTGCGAGACGTGGCTGTTGTGTTGGAAGGGACCATTGTACTGCATGACCTACCAGACCTCTCTACTGCCTTTGCATACCTCTTTGGCCTACTTTATGCCATGAACATTGATTATCCAAAGGAGATGAGGTATACCTTTGAAGCCATTCAGACTATCTTTTACGAGCTTGGCTCTCGATGCTCGCAGCGCATAAGGTCTCTGAAAACAAAGCTTTTGCTGTGAATGTTAATGGGGAAGCCAGACATGACTTTAACCTATGTTTCGCCTGTTCCAGTGCATTGTGGTTAGTGCTCATGTAAAACCTCACAGCATTCATTTCATTTTAAGCATATAAGTTGTCTTCTGAAATAGAGAATCAAAGAATGTGTAAGTTGCCAGTTCAAAAGAGGGGCATATCCAGTATTTCAACTGTTCAAGTTCATTGTTAGTGATCAGGTAAAACTTCAATGTATGTACATGCTTGCACATGCAGTCATGAAGTCCCATTTGCCTGTGAAATTGAAATGTGTGGAATTGTGAGTTGCCAGTTAACAAGAGGCACTGGATTGTAATTGTTATATTTGTTTATTCTTAAATTATTTGATTGTGATGTGCTGAAGAGGCTGAGGCCTGATTTATCACAATGATGTCAGGTGTGTGAATCCTATTTTGACTTGATGGATAAAAGCAGAAGCAGAAGCGATCCTCAGAATCTGTGTTCAAAGGCCATCATCATTTTCTGTTTAAAGCAGCTTTGCTAGATGTTTATTATGCCAAGAAATGTCCTTAACTTTTTTTCAAAATCCATATCTTCAGCATGTGAAGAATGCATGTTATCAACGTCCAGCAAAGCTGCTTTAAACAGAAAATGATGATGGCGTGGGGTCTGCGAGACAGCGAGACACAGAGGAACTCAGCCTGAGCACACACACACACTCACAGCCTGGCTGTGTGTGTGGAAATCCGCGGAGCCGCGGCTGAGAAAAGATAAGGCTGAGTGAGTGTGTGCGTGTGGCCCAATCCGCGGAGCCGTTACGTCACAATGCCCGTTACGTCACTTTAATCAGGAAGAAAAAAATGGAAAAAGAAATCTCCAACGAGGCATTCCGGGGCAGAATAGACAGGTATTTTCTTTTTTTGTTTGTTAATTTTAGTTCATTTTCAATGTCTGACATCAATGTTGATTGCATTCTTCAGCGTGACAATTATCTCAATGTTGATTCAATGACTTTTTGCTATGCGATAATAACAATGTATAATGCAACGCGTAATATAGTTGAATCAATGTTGATACAATTCTACATCCTTTCAATGTTGATCATATCGTAATTGAATCAAGGTTGATTCATTGTTGGGATTGATTGAAAATTCAATGTTCTTTCAATGCTGATCACAGCGAGCACTTTCAATGTTATTTTCAATGTCTGACATCAATGTTGATTGCAATCTTCAGCGTGACAATATCTCAATGTTGATTCAATTACTTTGCTATCTGGGAAACCTTTCCTCTTTAAATTATTGTATTTGTCACATTTGTACTGTCCTACAAAAAATATTTTTGTACAATCTAATTTATCTTGTCTATGTACTGTATGCACCATTCTCACCAAAGCCAATTCCTTGTATTGGCGAACCTACTTGGCAATATATCTGATTCTGATTAGCTTTCTGAAAATCAGGCCCGCTAAACAATAGAGCTAAATAGTCTTGGTCTATACTTCGACTTTTTTTCAAAATGTTCATCAAATCTGGAGCATATGGGCCCTGACTTAATTGAGGACATGATATTTTATGGGAGCTTTCTTATTCATGATGCTTAGACTGTAGCGTTGCTGGCAGTGGCTCAGTCAGTAGGAGCTTGGACTGGGAATTGTAGGGTTGTTGGTTCAAGCCCCCGAACAGACCTATGTATGGAGTGTGGAGTGCTACTTGGAGAGGTCCCAGTTCACCTCCTGGGCCCTGCCGTGGTGCCCTTGAGCAAGGCAACGGACACCCCAACCCCCTCACCCCCATTGCTCCCCTGGCGCTGTACAATAGCAGCCCACTGCTCCTAGTACTATAGTACTAGGAGCAGTGGGCTGCAGCTATTGTAGACTCCTGGTACTATGGGTTAAAAGCAGAGAACAAATTTCACTTTGTAAAATAAAGAGGGTTTCATCCTCCAATTCTATTCATAACTGCATTTAAAACACAAGAAGTAGCAACACCAATACATCCCGAACGGGCAATGCACTGATCCGAATCAGAAATGCTTTTTTAGTCCCACAGAGGGGAAATTTACATCGTCAAAGAGACAATAATGACACAGAATTTTTATTATGTGGAATCAAATAATAATTACACATTCCAATGTAAAAAGTAACAGCATTATAAAAAGTGAAAGAAGTAGAAAGTAATGAAGTAGCTGCAGGATGACTGTGTTAAACACCATAATTACTATAGGTAAAATATTGCAGTGTTATATTACAGGTGTTTGTAGTAGTATGTTTAACATAGTATTGCACAAAATATGTGTTATGTCTGTGTAGTGCAAATAATGACAAGCCACCTAAACAGGTTTTTTCAAATTGTATTTAAAAAATAAATAAGATTGCTCTGTATGGCCTGATCCTATCACACCACCTTGCCGGCCTGCACACTGAACTCAGCATGAACACAAGGCGGGATTTCCCGATTCATGAACACTGACTCATCCCTGTAAGTGCTTTTCGGCCACCAGCAGCGGCAAGAAACATATTTTACAACTCTCATGTTGCCTGTTGCCTCCGCTGTTCCTAAAAATAACCAGGCATCAACCCCCCTCCCCTGCTCCTCTTCCTCCCTCCCTCCTCTCCTTCGTCCCCTCCACATGGTTACAGTTAAGTACATAAATTAGGCGCCGGGGCTGGTGTGAAGCGGCGCACTGGCAGCAGACAGCGCGCACACATGCTCTTCACTCCGCCGCGGCTCGTCGCTGCCACTGCAGCCGCTGCAGCTCCGCACACCGGCGGCTCTTCTCCAGCACTCGGAGGCGGAATGGCGTGAGACCAGACACCGCGGACTCGTCTCTTACGGCCGATGCGCGATGGTGTTCTGACTGTCTGCCTGTCTGTGTGTGCGTCCGTGCGTCTTGCAGCGAGATTGCTGCAGTGCTGTTTTTCCAGGTGTTGTGGCTGGCGTGTGTGTGAGAGTGAGTGTGTGCATGGTGGTTCTCGAATTGGACTAAGCCGGGAGTCTGATGTCACATGTGCTTCATCGGAGGAGACGGGGCATCTGCAAGCGGGATTTTGTGGAGGATGCTGCGGCAAGTGATACACAGAGGGCTCAAGGCTTCGTTCTACTGGCTGGGCTTATTCGTTAGCAGGCACCCCGTTTTCTTCCTCACCGTCCCCGCCGTGCTCACCATCATCTTCGGATCTACCGTACTGAGCAGATTCAAGCCGGAGACGGACCTGGAGGTGCTGGTCGCCCCGACGCACAGCCTGGCCAAGATCGAGCGGAGTCTCGCCAACAGCCTGTTTCCCATCGACCAGTCGAAGCACAAGCTGTACTCGGATTTGCACACTCCGGGCAGATATGGCAGGCTGATCCTGCTGGCCAAGTCCGGGGGGAACATCCTGGAGCTGGCCGACCAGGTCCTGCAGGTCCACAAGCAGGTGTTGGATTTGCACGTGAATTACAAGGGATTCAATTACACGTTCGCGCACCTCTGCGTGCTGAGCCACCGGGACAAGCGCTGCCTCTTGGATGATATCATCACCATCTTCGAAGATATCAGGCAGGCGGTGCTCTCCAACAGCACTTTCCATAAGGTGCCCGTGAGCTATCCAAACACAACGCTAAAGGTGAGATTTCATTTGCATGACTGTCAAGCCAGGCCAGGCCTACACACTCCTACCCCCCTTTCCCAAAACACCTCCCCATCAGATTTGTGGTGACAGTGCAGCAGCAGCAGCATGTAGCAGGCTGGCCCTCTTTCTGAATGGGCTCCTGTTAGCTCAGGCTGTGATGGGGGGCTGCATATTGTCACATATCAGATGGTGAGTGAACCCTCTCCATTACACACAGCCGGCTTTGCAGTTTTCACCCTCCCTTGTTGGTGCAGGTGAATTGATTGGTTGCATGTACTGCCTGCTCTCTGTCCTTACACACACACACACACACACACACACACACACACACACACACACACACACACACACACACACACACACACACACACACACACACACACACACACACACACACACACACACACCACACACACACACACACACACACACACACACACACACAGGGATATCCTGCCTTTTTGTTTTGATGCAGTGTCTCCCTCTTGCCTTCTGCTGGCTGCACATGCAGCATGACATGTAGCTAATATATTCCACTGCATTCATTTCTAGAGTCTGCCTCTCATTTTCTCAGTGAGGTGACTGCAGCTGTTTCGATCACTTAAAGCCATACAACAAGCATAGGAAGAAGCTGTAGACCACAGGTGCACACTCAGTAGGCCCACACATGCATCAAGTGCAGATGTGCTCTGCAGATGGAGCCTGGTGCTAGGTGTACGGGGCTATACACTGAAAATATGTTGCACACATGCATGATTTTATATATTTGCCAATGTTTTCCTTTTAAACCAGATTCAAAATATATCTGTTGTTGTCACACCACGAGACACATGCAATTAGTGCTGCAAAAGTAATCTAAATTGGATCGGAATGGAAATATGGACTAGTGATGTATTCAGATTGCAGGAAGCTCACTCTTCGTTAAAGACCAATTATGTGTTAAAATACCATTTTGAATGAAGTACAGAGGAGCTGCAGAGATATTCCCTGCCTACACATCGTTTTTTTTAGTTATACAACATTTTTGTTTGGTACAGATCCTTTCACCATGACCATTTCAATATATTTTTCAATGATAATGAACAGATTGATGAAAAATGATAATCATATCGCAATGTAGAAATCCCTCAAAATTATCGCAATTAGTTATTTTATCAGAATCCTGCAGCCCTACGTGCAAAACATATGGGTTTAGTTTTACTTTGCTGCATGAAGTGCTTTTAGTGTCCTTTAGGTTGCAATGAGGCATATTTAAAGTAGGTCTACAGTATGGTACAGATTGAATATAAGATGGATATATGCACACACACTAACAGCTTACTTACTTACTAGCTTACTCTACACTAGGTGACACAAGTGTGATGTACATGCCGCTGTACATCAGCCACACACATACTGTAGGCCCAACCTGACAGCAGCACATCTTTAATGTATCACAGCCTGGTCTCCAGCATGGTGGGCTGTAACTTCCATTGAGAGCTGCCACAGCAGTGAGAGCTATCCGAGCAGCAGCAGCGTCTGATTGGAGTAGTGAAGCCATTCATCGTCCTGTTGCACACTGATATTCACTCTCTGCCGATCGATCGGTGCTCTCTATAAATGCCGATCGGGAGAGCCGATCACATGATGTAAAACACATGACACTTTTCTCTGTGCGCGGCAAAACAAGCTCGCCAAAATGGCTTTACCAGTCTGGCAGTATTTTAAGGTGTCCGAAAAAGACAATAAAATAGCGGTATGCAACGTGTGTGAAGCAGAAATCCTGCAGCTCCGCCCGCTGTGACGGACCGGTGAGCGGAGCAAAACACACACTAAGAGTTAGACCTTAGCTTTTTTATCTACCTCTGGGACTAGCTAAACTAGTTATAAATATGTTTATTCTTCACTGTCGGGTCACTCATTACTGGATCAGTGAGCTGCATGAGATACTGACAGGCTTTCAGGAGAGAGAGAGAGGGAGAGAGAGGAAAAGAGAGCGCTTCCACTCATTTCTCCCGTGTTATTATCCAAAGTTAATGTAAACTTGAATAATGTACTTCATTTGAATGTAATAATTATGTTGGTTGTTGTTTGTGGAAGCGCCAGTGAATGAGCCCCGTTGACTGAGTTTTAAACATCACTTTAACCTGTTAAGCCCTGAGCCTGTTTTTCAGGTTTCAGGCTCGAAAATGCCACTAACACAACAAAGACTATATCTTCACTTCTAAAAGGGGTAAATTAATAATCCTTTTTCTCAAAGCAAGGTTACATCTGTGAGTTGGATGTAGAAGTGTCAGAAATCAATATAGATGTTTTTATTTTAAAATAAATTCATATGGAACATAGTAAAAACATATAAATTCTATCTCCGCCTAAAAAAACCCCATTACTTATAGTGAAAACCACCCTTGAATGATGGGTTAGTAGAATAAAAGCTTTAGGAATCCAAACTATAACATATAATAAGTACCCTGTATCAAGATTGATGCAAAACAAGTGACATTTGACCTTTTTAGAGAGGTTTAGAAAAATAAAGTCCAGGCAGACTCACCTCTGGGTAATTTGGGAACCATCAGTTCCATTTGACCTTTTTCACTGTAAAAATCATTTTATTACTTTGAATTATCACTATAGGTATTCATTCCATCCAAATACAACTGTTGTAAAAAATAAATTAAAAAAAACATGCAAAATGAAGTTTGACTCCAACTGGAGCAGATTTATTTAAAACATTACAATGTTACAACTTAGCATGCCACTCCTTGTAACAATTTTTTTTGGAAGTGAAGCACAGAGGGACCTCACACTTCCTGCAGTACACAGCTGTCTTCACCTTCTTTTTGCCAGCATCATGCAGTTCCTGCAGTTCTTCCTGATACGGACATCTTTCCCATAAAACTTAAGCATCTCTTTCCTATCTATGGAACCCATTGGTCGATTTGAGTGATTTACACCTTTTTCTTAACCATTAGATCCAATAGAATCCGATGGGCAGTTCCAAAATCCACGTAAACATTACCATTGCGGACGTAATAGAGAAGCAAACGAAGCACATCTGAAAGTACAAGCCTTGACTGCAAAACTTTATACTAGAGATGTCCCGATCCGATCACGTGATCGGGGATCGGAGCCGATCACGTGATTTTCAAAAGATCGGAATCGGGAGAAAAAAATCGGGGATCAGAATTTTTTTTTTTTTTTTTTTTTTTTTTATAAAATATTTTTTTTTTATTTAATGTTACAAAACAAAAATGACCATGTTCACGTCTTAAAGTCATCCTGAGGCCTAAGTTTTGGTTTAAAATTACACAACGTCATGTATGTGTTGCTTCTTTTGGGCTTGTTTTCATAGACCTGGTTGCTTATTTCTCTCAAATCTGGCAACAGAGTGGGCAGGGCGCAGTGTCTAATAGTAGCAGTAAGCTAACGAGAGGCTACGTTCAGCTGGTGACTCCGGAGTCGGGACAGAGAAAATGTCAGGAGTTTGGAAGTATTATAAAATTGAAAGCGAAGGCAGTGTAACAGCCAGATGCAATGTTTGCAAGGCGGAGGTTCCGCGTGGTGGAAAGAACAGAGCTACGTTCAACAAGACCAATCTAATACACCACCTGAGAAACAAACACCAACAACAACACAACGAGTACACAGCGGCCACTCAGGTAACGGCAGTGAAACAACCAACACTTTCAGAGACTTTTAAAAGGAAAGAGAAACTGCCCCAGAACAGTGAAAAGGCCAAAAAAATAACAGCCAAGATAGCTGAATTCATCACGTTGGATGACCAGCCGTTATCTGTGGTGGAGAACGTGGGGTTTAAGGGACAACTTGAATGCTTTTCTCCTTTTTTTTCTCTTAATGCATTGCATAAAGATCGGATCGGGAAAAATCGGTATCGGCAGATTGTCAAAATCAAATGATCGGAATCGGATCGGGAGCAAAAAAAGGTGATCGGGACATCCCTACTTTATACCCAGTTTATTGCCATAAATATGATGATGGATTATCAGTAAAAAATTCTACGTGACACAGACACATTGGATTAACCTTGAGCGGCGTTTTTATTCCGTTGAACACAACTTTTGATCACAAATCAAAAAAGGTAAGATGTAATTATTGTAATATCTTTGAAACCGGATGTTGTTTACTTTCTCTTTTCTGGCTGAAAGCTCCGCAAATTCGGGGTCGTACAGTGATGACACTACATGTATGGAATATGTGGAGTCTCAGCTTTAATCGGATATCTTGTTTGTGCAGTTACGATAAGTAATAAGGGCATTTTGAGAGTGAGTGCTGTGCAAAACTCCGTTAGCATTAGTTAGCATTTTTTCGCAAAATGCTAATTCAAAGGCTTGGTATTACTCTTGTGTTTCTTTTAGCTAAAAATGGTTCATATCTTCAGTTAGCTGGGATTCTTACCGTTAATCTGGTGCTACACATTAATAGTTTCATACATTTAAGAAGCCCTGAGACATTGTCTAAAAAAAAGTGGGAGGGGTCCAATGGGGGGACCGTCGTGCTTAAGAGGTTAAATGGAAGATCCCCATAGCCCCCACCCACTCTATCGGATCGGCCCCAAAATTGGCGATCGGAGCATCCCTAATATTTAGTCCACTTTCATAAAGGAGCACAGAAACCAGGAATTGTTCACATCAGGACTCGGATAATTCTTTTTTTGACGTTAAACAGAGTAATGGACTATTAAGTAGGGATGGGTATCGTTTGAAATGTATCGATTCCGATTCCGATTCCGGTTCTGCTTATCGATTCCGGTTCTTATCAATTCCCCATTTCGATTCCAAAATTGTAAAAGAAAGAGGTCAAACGTTTAGATAACAAAAATA